TATTTCTCTTATCTTCCTTTTCCCACTTCTCACTATTGTCTCAGCAGAAAACACAAAATGTCACATTTTAGTTCTAGCCCAAGGATGGTAGAACCAGCCGGGCCGTCGATGACTCCCCACCCTTCAGCAGTCTGCTGGAGGAGCTAGGAATGCTCTGAGGGAATGAAACAGCTCAAGTTCACAGTCAACATGACACTAGGACGCTCTCTTGAGCTTTAGTTTGGCACTATTAGACATAAGAAGCAAAGTTTTAGGTTTAACTTCAAGGAAGGAACTTTTAATCTTGCATCTAACATCTGCAAAAAAAAAAAAAAAAATCCAAAAAACAGTTCAACAGGGGAAGCAACTGAATGCTTTTCCTACATTGAAGGAAGCTTATAACAAACACTGATTGTTACAATACATTAAAATACTACTTTTCAATTTCAAGCACCATACTAATTTTCTGAATCTCAATACATAATTTTAGAACAGTTCCTGCATGTCAGGTACCGATGGATTGAGGGTAAAGGCGTGCCTTAGTCTGTGCTGATGTGACAAAATACTCAAGACTGGATAATGTGTATAAACAGAAGTTTATATTCCCACGTTTCTGGAAGCTGGAAAGTTCAAGGTCACAGTACCAGCAGGTTCAGCTGTCTGTCGAGGGATACATCCTCTAGAAGAGAAAAAGACTGTCTCCGCATGGCTGAAGGCAGAGGTGCAAGAGAACAGCACACCAGGAGAAGCCTTTTATAAAGGCTTCAAAGCCATTCAAGGGCTTAACATTTTCATGACCCAAGTCCTTCTTAAAGACCTTAGACTGTGCCTTTGGATTTTTAAAAATGTAATTAAGTTAATAAGTAATTAAGTGTGTTAGGGTGGGTGAGCTTGCATCCAATTTGTCTAGTGTCCTTATGGAAAGAGACAAGGATACAGACACACACAGAAGGAAGACCAAATGAGGACACTGGGTGAAGCCAAGGTGCTGACACCTTGACCTCATCATCCAGACCTGGAAGAGAGCACATTTCCGTGTGTGAGTCCCTTACCCACAGTCAAAGAGACCCTGGCAATCACACACAGTCATAACATAGCTTCTGGGCAAGCCCATGTCTTTGTTAACTTGGGAGTGAAGCGAAGGGCAGGAAGCTGGAGACCAGGTAGGGGGACAGTCCATGAGGACATCAGAGGCTGAGGCCTAGGAAGGTGGGAAAGTGGCCAATGCTAGCCAAAGTCTATATGTCTATATATAGGGCTTGCCAGTAAATAACGAGGCATAAGAGCAAGAAGTGTCAAGGTGACACCAGGCTTCTGGCGTGAGCAACGGAAGTTCTTCTGTTTATTCATTGACAAGGGACATGCTTCTCTTAGGTGCAGTCCTTTAAGAACTTTCCTAACATCCCTCCAGGGCCTGCAGGAATCCACAGCCTACCTGCATTCTACTAATAAAAATTGAGAGCACACAGAACTGGTCAACTGGATGAAGTTGAGAAAGAAGACCCATGGTTATTTACCCTCGTAAGTCTGAACTGGATAGCTGGTGCCAGTTGGTCCCCAAAGCTTAGAGATGACATCAAACATAAAAACAAATGGAATGATACTTGAAATGGTAAAACATCGACTCCAAACAAGACATGGATCTGCAGCAGAGGGAAATGAAGGTCATCTCATTTAAGTTGACTGACACAAACACAATCTCCAGGAGACTGGTGCAAACCCATTTGTAGCATGATAGTGGAGTCCCTGGAGAGAACTCCCCCATGCTACATAACTTTGCTGAAAGCTCATGACAACTTCTCCGACACCGTCGGTGAGCTGTGCAGGGACCTGATTGGGATGGATACAATCGTTAGCTCTTCACCAACAACCCTAAGGAGGCTGGTGGGATTATGATCCTGGCAAAAAGAGGTGAGCCACAGGCTTAGCGTCAGACAGCTACTGAGTGGTGTGCGCGGCAGGCAGATTCTGGAATGTCACAATGTGGGTGCTAGCCTGTGACTGGGAGCAAACACGAATTCTTTTCCTTTGCTTCCTTGCTCCCACCCTCCCTCCAGATCAGGTAAGCCAACCTGTCAACAACTTCATGTCAGTTTTCAACCATCTTAGGGTAAGGCTGAAGAGCTTTTTCCTGGTTGTGGTACAGTGAGTTAATCTCTTACCTATAAGGCTGGTATCCCACACAAGCACCAGTTTGAGTCCCAGCTGTACCATTTCTTATCTAGCTCCCTCATAAAGTGCCTGTGAAAGCAGGTGGAAGATAGATCAAACACTTGGGGCCCTGCCATCCATCTGGCCTTGGCCTTGGCCAGGACCAGCTCCAGCCATGGTGACCATTTGTAGACTGAATGAGCAGATGAAAGCTCTCTGTCATTCTGCCTTTCAAATAAATAACTAAATATTTTAACAGACTTCATTTCACATTGGTGGAATAGGATGGTAAAAGTTCTAGAGAAGTGCTTAGATAAAGGAAATTGTAGTTACCTTCAAATATTAGGATTCAAAGGGAAAGACACGAAAAGAAATAAGGCATGGGGTAGGTATATACGTTATGGTCAATTGAAACATGTTAAAAAAGACTCATTTCCTTTATTTGAAAGACAGATTTTTACACACACACACATTGAGATCATCCATCAACTTATTCATTCCCCAAATGGGCACATGGCCAAGAAGCCAGGGGCATCATCTGGGTCCCCTGCATAGGTAGAGAGGTTCCAGCACTTGGGCCATCTTCCACTGTTTTCTCACATGCATTGACAGGGAGATGGATCAGAAGTAGAACAGCTGGCACTCCAAGCAGCTGCCCATATGGGATGCCAGCCCTGCCAGCAGTGCTTAACCCATTATGCCACAGTGCCAGCCCAACCTCTCCAATCTTTATTTATTTGGAGAGACAATCTCTCCTCTGAGGGAATGGCAATCTTATTCAAGTGAAGCATGCATTAATTCCACATGTCCGGCTTGGCCTATGAAAACAGCACCCATGCCTTCATGTAGGATGAAAATTGAGGGATATAGAGGCAGAAAATCAGGGTCTAGGGGTGGCACAAAGTATGGGACAGCCAAGACCATGCTGTACCCCCCTCTAAACTCCAACATCCTCTTTCTGTTATTGTTCTTTTCATCTCAATAAAGAACCTTACCCATAAAGCGAGTGTTGTGATGCAACAGGTTAAGCCACTATCTGCAATCCCATATGAGAGCACCAGCTGCCCTGCTTCTGATCCAGTGCCCTCCCTGCTATTGTGCCTAGCAAAGCAGCAGACGATGGGCTAAGTACTTAGCCTCTGCTACCCACATGGGAGATCTGGATGGATTTCCTGGCTTCTGGCTTCAGCTCGGCCCTGTCCTGATCACTGTAGCCACTGGGGAGTGAACCAATAGGTGGAAGATCTCTTTGTCTCTCTATCTCTCTCATTTTGTCTGTCAAATAAATAAATCTTTAAAGGAAAAAAAAAGTATCTGACTCAGTGGAGGTCCAGTTGAAATATTTATTTCAGAAATATACACGGATACAACACAACTCATTGGTTAGTACTTTCCATTGAACCTTTAAAAATGGCATGTTTGAAGTTGAAATATATTTAGCAAATATTCTGCCAACACGCTGTTCCATCTGTTGCTGATGATTAAATCTCACAGTAGATAGAGCAGACAGGGGAATGCTAGTCACCTTTAGGAGAGCAGCTGGGCTGCAGTAGAGCATTCTGGACCGATGGCAGGAAGACCCGGGATGAGGTCATGGCCTCTTCTTCATTCCCTCAGGTTGTGCTTTTCAAATGCCTGTGGATGAGCACCACCTCCCAATGGATATTTCTTTTAATTCTTAATCCATCACAAATGGATGCTTTTAGAAAATATATATTTTAAAGTTCTAAAAGAAAGAGGCATTTATAAAAAAAAAATAGCTATCTTTTATTTGAAAGGCAAAGTGGCGGAGGGAGAGGGAGGAGAGAGAAGGGGACAGAGCAGGTGGAGAAGGAAATCCTTTGGCTCTCTCCTCAAAGGGCCACAACATGTGAGGCCGGGCCAGGCTGAGGCGGGGAGCCCAGAGCTCCATTCAAGTCTCCCAAACGGATGGCAGGGCTAAAGTGTTTGGGCTCTTCCATTGTGGGCATTGATAGGAAGCTGAATTACAAGCACAGTAGCTGAGCCTCAAATTCATGTTTTTAGATGGGATGCCAGTTTGTTTATTTGAAAGTTCGATACATATATTGGCCAGCAGCCAATAGCAGAGGCCCTAATACTTAGGCTGTCCCCTGCTGCCTTTCCCGGTGTATTAGCAGAGAGCTGGTTGGGAAGCAGAATGGCTTGGACATGACCTGGTCCCACCTGGGATGCAGGTGTTAAGCAAGAGGCAGCTTCAGCTTTACATACACACGCATACGCACACAAACACACACGGTTGACTCAGAGCCAGTACAAGAGATGAAACCCCAGGGGGTATGCCCTCATCATGTCACTCAGAAATGCTACAAGAGGAAGATTCTGATGGGAGGTGGGCGGGGGCTGGCCATCTGAGGCACGTCCACACGGGGCGGGACTCTGGGACTCTGCTCCCCCAGCTGCAGGAGGAAGGGAGTGCAGTCTATTCTTATATGCTATCTTGTGAGGATCAGCATGGGAACACACACGTCAACCAGCAAGCAATATTGAAAAATGCAAACGTGTTTTCTCCCTATTTCCAAAACCAGGAATAACCTCTACTAAAGACCATGCGAAAACCACTTCCAAAATATTAATGTCTCTCTCTATATATGCATTTGTATATGTGTATGTATATCATCATGAATAAATGAGGACTCTATATTTTGGCAACATTATTTTTTTTTCTTCCATATTAGCCTTGACATTCAGTTTTTGATCTGATTTGACCTTTCAACTTTTTTCTTTTTCTCCTGTGGGGATGAACACTTGGTTATGTTCTTCAGCCACAATAACAAATCTCCCAGTGCCCGCCTCACCCACCCCTGTCCCAGCCAGTCTCATCCTCTCCCTCTGGCCTGACTCCCCCATACCTTTCCAGCCTCTGCATGGTCATGGCCAGCGTCTTGTTCAGTTCCTCTATCATCCTGAAGCCCGAGGTGTGCATGGGGAGGGAGCCGGTGGAGGAGGGGAGGTGCTGCCCGTGGCTGCCGTAGGGCGGGTGATGCTGGAGCTGGGAGGGCAGGACCGTGTGGTGGTGCTGGGCCACACCCTGCTGGCCACTCTTCTGGACTGCGTAGGATGCCAGCGAGAGCTCGGGCCCCCCCACGGGCATGCAGATCATGACTTTCTTTGGAGGTAGCGGAGGCGAGAGTTTCACTGGTAGACAAGGCAATTTCACAGGGGCGCCAGGATCTGCGGGACAAGGAGGATGAGAGGCACGGGTGAGTCTGGCGGCATCAGATGAAACGTGCAACACCACGTGGGCCCACCTTAGGCCTGCAGCCACTGAAGCTGGCCCCTCTGATCAAGCATGACCCTGACAATGGTAGCCAGCACCGCTCAGCGAGCATCTGCTGGATCCTGTCCTGTGCTCAGAGCGTGCTGCTCAGAAGAAGGGGGTCTCAGGGAATCCCAGGATCGTAGGTTTCAGGGACATCTGTCTTGCCGTGGGTCCTGCAGAGGCTCCCAAGCAGCCCAGGGAGGGAGGCATTGGGGAGATGGCAGTGGGGTAATCTTTTCTGCTGCTGGGAACCCACGGGCCTGTTCACCTTTTCCAGACTCGGCAATTCTGTTATAGTCAAGGAGATGTCTCAGCTGACAAGTTCCAAAACAACAGCATGAGGTTGGAGAAGCCAGCCCTGGGTTCAAGTCCAGGAATAGCATCATCTCTCTGTAAGTACACTGCTCTAGTGCTGCCAAGCTCATTCCCTTCATGTGTCACAGGGGGCCATGGCCCCTTCCTGGACGAACGAGGCTATTGGAGAGTCAGCTGCCCTAGACGACTGGCTCTGGTAAATGGGCTGGAGCCCTTTGGACTATGAGGATGCCCTCTCGGGGTGCTGGGGGCTGCTGCAACCCTCGGGCTCTGTGAGGGCACCAGGAAGCTTCCTAGAGACGCTCTGCACTGCCAGACCTAAGGGTATTTTGAAGAGATCTTGTCTTCTGAACCCCAGTGGAAGTCATCTCGCATTGGCGCATGGTCAAAGCTTATGGGAACAGCTCAGCCCAGAGGGAGGGCACGGCTGGGAAGTCCCACCCCACAGTGCCAACACCAGATGCTCCTCAGTGTGCCCCTCTGAGGTCTGAGGTCTTTTCTCCACCATGTCTGCCTTGATGTGGCCCTCCTGCAGCCAGCCCCACCACATGGCCCTGCTGAAATGACACCATGGTGGGCAAGCAAGCTGACCAAGTTTGTTCTACACGAAAGTCCATCCCACTAACTACCCTTCCTGCTATGTCTTTCCACACTCCGTCTGCCCTCCAGCTCATTTCTTCAAGTCCATGTTCACCCCAAAAGTCTGTGCTCTGACTGGCCTAGTTGGAAATAACCTTCCCCACAGGACTCAGGGCGGCTTGCAGTTTCTCCCACACTCCACCCGCGGGTTTCACTTGTTTGCTGTTGTTTGCATTCAGCCTTTGCTGCCCCACACTGCCCTCTGCGGTCTGTCTGGCTCCTCTAGGCTTCCTGTGCAGGTTACCTTCCCTCCCCCACAGAGACTGGAGGCCCACATGCCAGGCTCCCTTTCCCCTTCAGCTCCAGCTGCCTCTTCTCACGGTTACTCTGGTGCATCAACCCTCACTCCCACCCTGCTAGGGTTCCAGTCGGCCTGTTTCCATTTCCCTAGGCCTTTTCCAATTGTCCTGTCTTGGTTAACGCCTATGCTACCTTGAAGGCCCAGCCCACAAACCAACGTCCATGAAAGCTTCCCCTGACCTGACACGGTGGGTGTGTACTATACCAGGGCTGACAAGAACAGTGGTGGTGACTACACTCAGAATTATTGCCAAGACTTAGAAAGGTGGAGTACTTTTTCTCTTGGCATCTGAAATGTTTCAGATTTGAGATTTTTCACTCCATTTTGGAAAACTTGCACAATTCAAAATGGCTTCAGTGTGGCTATAGTACACGGCTCCTGACATTGGAAACGGGAACGAAGTCTAAATACAAGAGCCATCTGTGCTTCACATGCACCTTACACAAGGGGAATGAAAAGTTTTGTGGAAGGGGCCTCTGCTGTGGCTCAGTGGATTAAGCCGCTGCCAGGGACAACAGCATCCCATAACAGTGCTTGTTTAAGTCCTGGCTGTTTTGCTTTTGATCTGGCTCCATGGGAAAGCAGCAGAAGGTACTTCTGCTTCAAGTATCCAGTCCTCTGCCATTCAAATGGGAGACCCAGATGGGGCATTAGGCTCCTGGCTCAAGCCTGGTCCACCCTGGCTGCTGTGGCCATTCAATGAGTGAACCAGCGGAGAGAGGACTGCTCTTTCTATGTCCCTTTTTTTCTTTCACTCTTTCAAATAAACAAATATGTACAAACAAGTGTATGGAAAGTGGAATTTAAAATTATGAATTTGTTTAAAAGCAAACAGAAAAACCTTAAAACCCAAGACAGCTTTTTCAATTGCATTGTCTATATATTCTGAAAAAAGTTTTACAGTAAAATTTTGGTTACACCAAAATAAACTCATAATTTAAAAAACATCTTAAAGATGTATTTATTTAAATACATAGAGAGAGAGAAAAAAAGAGAGAGAGAAGGGGTCTTTCACCCTCTGGCTCATGTTCTAACTGGCCACAATAGCCAGGGCTGGCCCACACTGAGGACAGGAGCCAGGAACTCCATCTGGGCCTCTTACATGGGTGACAGGGATTCAAGAACTTGAAACTTGCCTGTTGGCTGCCAGTGCTAGGAGGAAGCTAGACTGGAAGTGTGCGGCAGCCTGGACTCGGGCCAGGTACTCTGATACGGGATGCGGTGGCCTGAGTGGCAGCATAAACCGTTGCATCGCAATACCTACCCCAAACCAATACTTTTAATTCCATTTTTGCACAAATGTTTTGAAGAACCCATAGCCCTGAGGTCATATGATGTAACAGTTCTAATCATTTCCTGCAAAATGCCAAGCTTTTCATTGCTTAGAGGTCCAGATTTGGAGCATTCACAGCTTTAGACGGGGTCTACCTGGCCTGCATCATGCTTACTGCGTGCTGGAGACTGGTGCCAAGTACTTTTCCTAGACCTACCACTTACAATCACACAGTTGATTCTCAATTGTTCAAACACTTTCCATACTGGCTAAACTTGGTACACCTACTCTAAGGGATATTACATGGCCACAAAAAGAAAGAAATCCTACGATTCGCAACAAAATGGTCTCAACTGGAGACCATTCGGCTTGGTGAAATAAGCCAGCCCAAAAGGACAAATATCATTGTCATCTCTAATATAAAGCAACTTGCCTGCAAAGTATAAAATAAATAGGCAGACGGATAATTGAGTGCATACATATATTCTCATAGATGGACTGTATTACGGAGATTAGCATACCAGGAAGTGAAGATACATTGCGGTATGCATCTCGATGACACAGTTAAACAAACCTTGGCAATATGAAGCTAGATATTCTGTTTCTGCTTATACTTATAACACCATGAAATACTTAAAGAGCAGAAAATTAAATTGCAGCTGTCATTAGGGAACTATACCACTGTGATAATATGGGGAAAAATAGCAAGAGGTGAAAAGCAGAGGAGAAAGGAATCCTATAGTTACAAAACCGTATCACTGAAAATAATAAAACCAAACAATGAAAAAAATTCAGAAGTGAAAAAAAAAATCTATTCACTTAGTGATTATCTTGCCTAAATTTAAAATGTGTAACTAAGGAGCACTTTTTAAAACCAACTTGTCTAATGGCACATCTAATCAAATTATAAATGTACTTTATCATTAAGTATGAGGAAAAAAAATTAGGGGGAAGTTTTTCAATTTTAAAAAATTGTGGGGCCTAATGTGGTAGCCTAGGGCTTAAGTCCTCGCCTTGCACACATCGTAATCCCATATGGGTGTTGGTTCTAGTCCAAGCCACTCTTTTCCTCATCCAGTTCCCTGCTTGTGGCCTGGGAAAGCAGTCGAAGATGGTCCAAAGCCTTAGGACCCTGCACCTGTGTGGGATACCTGGAAGACGCTCCTGGCTCCTGGCTTCGGATCAGCTCAGCTCTGGTCATTGAGGTCATTTGGGGAGTGACCCAGTGGATGGAGGATCTTCTTTTCTGTTGTTATGGGGTGCAGCCAGTGATACCCAGCACCCATTGACAGTGGGCAAATGAAATGTGGCTGTGTCCCCATCCTCTCTGTCCTGAAGATAGGGCCTAACAGCAATGGAATGATAATTCCATCCTCAACCACTTCCCCCACGTCCTAATTTAGCCAGGATATTGGATGCAGACAAGTCCAATTAGTATAGGCATTTTTAGCTATAAGCCCAGTTCCCGTTCTGCCCATCCCAATGAGCACTAATCAACTCCTTAGCCCACAACACTTAGGTATTCACTCCTGCCCACCTGTGACTCACCTGTCAACTGAGAGGGGACGATATTGCATTGTCGTGTAACCACTCCCCTCACAAGCCCCTTTAAATGGCCCATGAATCAGGGGCTTGCTCTCTGTCTGGTCAGGTGCTTCCATTACTCTGGTACCTCGACTCTTGGCTGACCCAGGACAGGTAATCCCCTGAGCATGGTCCCTGTGTACTGCCTAAATGGGGCAATGGTTATAATAATGTTGTAAGACAGGTGAGGCCAAGCAGTAGTGCAATGTGCGCAGAGAAGTCAGGGAAAGGGGAATGTCTGCAGCTTTGTACGTGTGCCCAGGTTATTCGTTGCATGTCTCTTAGGATAACTTCTATTGTTGGGGAAGCTGGGACATAGGTCTTCAGCTTAATGGATGGACTTAAGGATAATGACCATTTGTTCCTTTTGGGATTATGATTGGTTGGATTGCTGTATGGACTTGTGATTTGCTATTGTGCTCTATTATCACCAAGCAACACTGTCTCTCCTCCTCTCTGTATATCTGACTTTCTAATAAAAACAATTAGCTCTTTAAACATTTTTTTAAATTCATTTACTTACTAGGGAGATAGTTGATTCTATCGCCGTAGAGTGCAATGAGTAAGGCTGGGCTGGAGTTGAAGCTGGGAGCTGGGAGCTGGGAGCTGGGAGCTGAATCCAGATTTCCCATTTGATAGCAGGAATCCAATCAAAGACACCATCATGGCTGCCTTCCTGGGTCTATCTTGGGGGGAAGCCGGAGTCGGAGCCAGACAGCCAACCCCAACACTCTTCTGTGGCGCATGGCATTTTAACTGGCACCTTTATTACTAAGCTGAATGCTCACTCCAGATTTCAA